CCTCATAGAAATATATTTAGATCCTTTAAAAAAAACACAGTTCTCTAAAACCTACTTCAACACACTTCCTCTATTTTTGGTCTCTACTGCTCATTTTAGCTTTGTCAATTTTTTATTTATTCATATAAAAATTCATTTAAAAGCAAAAAGAAACAATCTATATATAATAAAAATCACAAATCATAAGTGAAATGAAAGGAAGCAGAAAGAAGATAAAGATTTTATTATATTTATCTGCCCCTTTTCTCCCCCAAAAATTAATTCAAACAATAACAAAAAAGTCAGGTCCTTCTTGAACATCAATTCATATCAATATATAATGTATTCAACAAACTAACCTCTCTCTTAAACTTACAAATTGATCTTAACATAATTTAGCTTTTAGCTATGTGATTTAGCTTCTAAAATCTGCTATAACTCAGACAATTTTATAGATAATGAGCTAAAATTTGATGAGGTAGTAGCTGAGAGTTATTCCCAACACAGAAAACTGCGTACTAACAGCTACAACGCTCATTTCTCCACACAAGATCATCTTTAGTCTAAGCATAAAGGCGGCAGATGATAATTAACAGAATGTTAGATTGTTAGTTCATATAGGCATGACTAGAAAACAGGAAAACACAACTCAGGTTTGAATGGCAGATGGGGGTAAAAGAGAAAATCATCATCTTGCCCCATCGAACTGTTGAAAAAAAGCCCACTGAACAAAGCATATAATCTGACTGCTTGCCCTTCCAGAGCCTGTAATTATGTCTATAAAACACATTCTATATATAAACAACAATAGACAGTTAAAGTGGGAGTTATGTCAGGGAGTACTGGTGACTCAGTGCACAGAGGAGTACGCCCCGTGTGCTGCTAAATGTTACTGCCTGTTTGACTTCGGCAAACGAGACCTCCATACACGTTTTGGCATCAGTGGAACAGACTCTGGCTAAAACAGAAAGCCTCTTACATGAAGGCGATGGCTGGTAAATCTCAACTGGAACCAGTATGTATCAGGACAGGACAGGGTTCTTTTTAGATTCAAGGCAGGTGAGTTCAAATGACTCACAACTCTCGGCCTTAAAGGGATCCCTGATTAGTTGTAACAGACTTTATTTGATAAACATAAATTTTAACTGTAAAATAAAGACTGTAAAAATACTGTGGGCTGTTTATTTTTATAATTTTTAAACTAAAAGTTTAAAAATATTTTACACGGACGGGGCCATTTTATTTCCAAACAAAGCATTCTGGGTAAATGATGACGTGGATATGTCATAGGTGTGAGGCTGCTAGCGAGCTATATCCACCCTGAAGGTTAATCTTGGACAATATCTGATGATTGGCTCTTTTAAATGAAACCAGAGAGCGTTGACAGAGAGGAGAAGGTAGAAATGACTCAGCCTGKAACTGAAAATATRGATGGAGGACAACAGAGCTGCTTCATGGAAGAAGAACCTCTGCTTAGCTTGTTAGCTTTAGCGTTAGCTCCAATGCTATCACCATATATATGTATTAGCTCAGCGCTACACATTCTCCTCTCGTCACTGAGGTCCTCCATCCACATGACAGAGAGGGGAACGCAAAAATGACTCAGCCTGTAACTGAAAATATGGATGGAGGACTTCAGTTTAGCTTGTTAGTTTGTCACGCTAGCGCCGAGCTAATACTTATAAGGCAATATAGTGTCAGTGCTAGTGCAAAGGCTAACTGTTTACAAAACTAAACAGCCTACAGTATTTTTACAGTGTTATTTTACAGTTAAAATACATGTTTATCAAATAAAGTCTAATGTTACAACTAATCGGGGATCCCTTTAACACTGAGGCCTCATTTTGACCAAAGGGCAGCAGGAAGGTTCAAAACAAGCTTTTATCAGAACTGTCCAGTTAAAGTCTGGATAAAACAGTTATAAAACAATGATACTAAGCTAATAACCCACCATCCTCAGCTCAATATCTGCAAAAAGAGTTATAGTCACTTTTATGTTGGCTAAGCTCATTTAGCAGTTAGACTCTAAAAGTAAATAAGTTGTAGATGTACATCCAGTGATTATTTTGTGAAAGTTGGGACTTAAAATGTGAGATATTTTGCTTAAAGTCAAACAGARACCAAGATGTCGTGCTACGCATTGGGGAAGATGCTCAGCTACTGCCACGCCAAATCTGGGATTGCTACAGTCGCTTAGCTGCAGCCGCCATCTTGACTCAAAAAAAACGTAATCCGTTGTAGATGTGCATCTGCAGCACGACGGATCAGTGGTTAGCACTGACGCCTCACAGCAAGAAGGTTCTGGGTTTGATTCCCGGCTCGGACCTGGGGGTCTTTCTATGCGGAGTTTGCATGTTCTTCTCGTGCTTGCGTGGGTTTTCTCCGGGTACTCCGGTTTCCCCCCCCACCCCCAAAAACATTCAGGCCCAGGCCTCCCTTTAAAAATAGATCTTGCCTGGTTAAATAACGGTAAATAAAAATCTGGTTATTGTTTCTGGAAGTTTTGATCAGATGCATCTACTGGTCGATGAGATATTCTGCTAACACAGACAAACAAACAATGGGAAAAAAAACTGTATTGCTTCGCCTTCTAGGTCGGGCGATAAAGAGACTCTTATTAAAAACCAAAGGAATGTTTTGCCCTCATAAAGACACTTTTGACAACCTAAAACCAAGATTAAACAGAACACAAGTTTGCTCAGAATTCCTCCCTTTGCGTGACATAAGAAGGCGTGGATGTGTGTAAAAAAAATATATGACGCTGAAATATGCTGGTGCTAAAGGCAGAAGCTACAGTTATCTGGCAAACAAGTTCCCATTATGAATTTTAGCTTGAGCTAAACTAAACAAACAGATTAAAACATACAAGCAAACTAATGTGACTATCAAGTGTTTTGTATCGAACTATGAAGAAACTCTCACTATATTCCACTTCCTAGGAGCTGTTCACACTGTCAAATACGTGATCCGCTGTTTTTTATTTTATTCTGAAATTAACACCAAAAAGATTCACATGTATGCACACACTAGYCTTAGACAAAGTTCTCAAAGTGTGCCAAAGAGTTGATAAAGTTCCACTTTTAAAGCCAGAACAAAATGTTATGAAATAGGCCAAGAAAGAATGTTGCAAGCTCCAGCAAGCAGCTTGCATGAAGCAGAGAAGGAAGGTGTGTGAATATTGCAAGTGTAGGCATAAGGACAAAAACTTTTTTWWAAAAAGTGATCAGGAAGGGGATGMGTTTTAGACCAGCTCRATTAAACACATCAGAACATCCAAAYCTCCTGGTTTGTTTGCACGCAAARTTTGTTTTAACCGAAWCTCGTTACAGTMGCCACTGCCGCCACCACAGAGGAGAGGCAATGATGTTTTTGTCTGTGTTTATCCGTCTGTACAGTTAGCAAAATATCCCACAAACCGAAGGATAGACGTGAATGAAACTTTCAAGGTAAATATACCTTACTGCAAACAGATGCAGAATCAAAACTACGATTCGAAACACAGTAATACTATTTCATGTTGAGGCCATGTCCGCTATTTCACAAGCCCAGGATTGGGAGAGCTCCTGTTTGGAGASCAGATTTCAACATCCAGAGACCTACTGAGCCGTCGGTGGTCATAGCAAAATTTGAGAAAAGGTGATTTYGATGGGATTTAAACTTTTTCCTCAGGTCAAAAGACAGATTTGATATGCTCCATTCATCATTTTCAGTTTATTTCAAATTATCAAACATAAAATGTTTTTCGTTATCAAATGGCGCAGTTTAAGAGCTTACTCCAGTAGTTTTCCCAGATATAGTGACATGCAATTCTGAAATGCAGGTATGCACTCAATGTAAACAAAGCAGACTYATCTGCAAACTTCACCCAATATATTCAAGCATATTTACTAGGGGTGCAACGATACAGAAAATTCACGGTTCGGTTCGATACTTTAGTCTCACGGTTCGATATTTTTTCGATACAAAAAAGAGACATTTCCATGCCCCTTTTAACTTGTAATTTATTTATATTAATTATGAACTTTTGTTTAACCTCAAAAGTACAGTTTTTTAATTAAATGTTGCTGAAACAGTGAGTTTCTCAGTGGACCTGCGCTCAAAAATGCAGCCTAGGTGGAGTAGTCGAACACAGATCCACTGATCCTTTAACACAGACCATCTTCACAAGACAAGTTGATAAAGTAACTTTTTAAAATCTGTATTGTTCGATACGGTTTGGTACGGTTCGACACGGGTACATGTATTGTTGCACCCCTAATATTTACGTATTAAACAGCAAAACTGACTTCTCTGTCATTGTTGGATTATAAGTCACTTTGCTGGTAAATGCTAGCATTTCTTTTACAATTTTTTTTTCATTTAAAGGACATAATTGAAAACGTAATCATGCTCTTTAGTTCCTTACTTATTGACTTTCTTTACGACCGGTTCATGACATTGCAATGAATACCTTCAAGTCCACATAACTGTTTAGATTTAAGATAATTATCATTTCAAATTGTGTGGTTTTGTTGGCTTTTAAAGAACAGATTGATGCAGTCATCTTGTTCGTTTTAGTTTTTAATCCATTCTCAAAAGAAAAGAAAAAAGGATGAGCAGGTATTTATGTGAGCTCTGACACAATGAAGCCTTGCACTGTATCATAATCACTAACCAGACAATAACACACCACTTAGCCTGCTAGCTTAGCTGCTACAGAAACACCCCCTATCTTAGAATAAATGACCCAACCCAGGGAATGGTAATCATGGGAATGAGGCTTGTTTTTGCTTTTTTTGTTTTAATTTTAAGAAAGAGAAGTCGGTTTTGGAGACAATGCAAGGCCGCCATATAAAGGCTGGAAATGGGAGGAAGAGGAAGAGGGCAGTGTGGCCGCCCCTGCCTCACCTCCTTGGGGATACCAGGAGACGGGAAGGGGGGTGGGTGGGATCATATGGAGGGTCGGTATATGAAGAAAGGTTGTAAACGAGAGGACAGTTTATGTGACATAAAAAAAAGACTATTAGATAAATTTGACCCACCATAAAGTCGCTGCCGAAGTTGTCCTCTCCTCTCTCCTCGTCTCCTTCGCTCATGGCCTTTACCCCTTGGATAAACTTTCTCAGGATGCCGGCTTGGTCCATCTTTATCCTCTTTAAAACGCTGCTTGTTCCTCTTTAAAACAAAATTCCCCTCAAACTAACGAGGAGATGTTCTTAAAAACAAAACGGGACACAAAGGAGAGGGATAAATAAAAAATAAATAGGCTTCACCGGTCCTCCCAGAGAGTCATCGTCGGTCCACAACACATTTTTTTTTAAATATTATCGCCCCATGTTGTTTCTGCTTTTCCCCCTCCTTTCTTCTGGACTGTTTTCACAGCGACAGCACAGTTAGTCCCAAAGAAAAGCAGCAACCGGCTAGCAAGCTTCCGCCGAACAAGTTAACAACCGCGGCGTGATATAAAGTGTCAACCCCTGGCTCTGCATAAAAGAACAAAAATAAAAAATACAGAAAATACCCCAAATAGAAAAGAAATGCCCGGTCCGGTCAGTCTTTCTACCCCTCCCTGTCAACCTCGATTGCCACATTCACACACTGCTGCTCGTTATTCGCTACTGGGGAACATCCGGACTGGGCAAAGCCAACGTGACGTAGTCCCGCCTTTTCCAGGATAATCCCGTCTCTGATTGGTCAGAAGCGAATAGAATGCAGAAGCTTATTGGCCGATATGGCTGCAGCTCTAACTAGTTGTCACGTGTGATTGGATAAGGTATTTGTCGGTAGTTTCCACGCTCTCCTCTGTGGCACCACATTTGACATATTTTTCACACTTTAAAATAAGTGAATAAATGAAAATTAAAGGTGAATTTTGTGCATATCTCTGCATGAGTGTAATATAATTGCAATTCACTGAAATGAGTGGCATTTAAATGCATGACATTTTGCAAAAATTCATATTGTCTGCAAAAATGCAGTGTAAATACCGAGTACTCCTCCCCAGGCACTGTGATATGGGCACCAGTGACCCCCGTGACCCTAAAAGGAATAAGCTGGTAAAGATGATGGATGGATGGATGGATGGATGGATGGATGGATGGATGGATAGAATAAATTCTTAATCGAGCTGCTAAGTTTAAAAAGAGCAGACCACAGCCTAAAATAAGCAGAATTAAAAGGTTAAAATTAGCAAAACAGTTGTTAAATGTTAAATTTTCAATACAGAAAAATGTAACAGCTTTTTAAAGGTGCATTCCAGCAGCTACAGAAAGTATATCTGGATTTTGAAAATCCAGCTCACCTAAAGCAAGGAAATTGGGGTTCCCTCTAAAGCTGTTGGGAGATGAGAATTCAATAGACTTGTACGCCTGATCATCTGTTCTCCAATAAACAAACACACAGGGGGTAAAAGGAGCTACTTTGTTTTCCTTTAGTTCGACCAGCGACAGCAAACAAACCAGTCTATTCAMCGTATAAGAGCGAGGAGGAGAGGAGAGACGCTGCTGCTCTGCCAGCAAGCTTTTTYACTCACAGGCCGCCTTTTGTAGGCCCAGCCTTTAAACGTATTTGCTCGTCACATCAGGACAWAGTCAATGTTTTTTTTTGCTGCATTTCTTTCCTCTGCGTCTCTGTTTCTAAACTGGTTTTATAGTTGTCTGTGTGTATCAGATATTTTGAATGTGAATTTTACAAAACAAAATGAGTGCAACTAAAATATGAAAGCATTTTTGTGTGTGTGTGTGTGTGTGTGTGTGTGTGTGTGTGTGTGTGTGTGTGT